ACTGATATCCACAAGAGATGAATTGATGGCAGAGATCAATTGAAGGCTGACAAGTAACGCCCAGTAGTACATCTCTAATTAATACAATATGATGTTCAGTAAAGGAAATGTAAACAGACACGTCACCTATAATGCAAAATGAATTTATGGGTATCGTAGAGATAAAACGGTAGACATCTAATAATATTTTTGAGAATAGTTTTAGAAAATCTGGTTCAGAGGTGAGAATATTATTTATAGCTAGATTGCATTAATCATGCTGGATACAATGCAAAAGAGAGATATAGTAAGTTCATTGAGAGTAAACAGTAAATAATATAACTCTATCCTACTGAGTTCCACAGAAGCCATAACGCATAACTAGTTATAACTTTGTCTTCATCTTTCAAAAGAGTTATTAATAAAACTTTAATCCTTTTGTTAGAGGTAGTAATCCATTTAAATAAATTCTTTTCATCTTTTGACTACTTATTCAATTAAATTAACCTTGATATTATATCCTACTTTTTTCTCCGTAAATTCTTTTTTGTTACACTAAATGAATAAATATTCAAAAACTATTATTTTACTTATAAAATCCTTCTTAAAGCTTATTTTCATGTTGCACACTGAAGTGGTAAATACGCTAGATGGATGCTATTAATAATGAAAGTTGGATTTTTCAATGGTTTATCACTACATAGGGCCAGATTAACTAAATTGCTTCGACTCCATTGTCTGAGCAAAGAAGATTTTAATGATATATCCCAAGTATTTGTACTTCTGGTTCATTATCAATGATTTTAAAAGGTTAATTTCATGAATAGAATTATTATCTAACTAAATTGGAAATTTAAGTGCTCATTTATTAGTTGATTTCATCTACTAATACGGTGGCTCGGGTTTACAAATAACCATATATAATTGCCATTTGTAGATCACGAGGGGACTATCATACATTCATGCTATAAATTCAAAATCCCACGGTTTACACTTTTCTACTTCAATCAGTCTATGATTTAACCCGATCCTCATCCAACGTTACCGATGAGTCATTATGTCGATTTCAAACTTCATTGTCTTCACATATTATAGTTTTCTATCAGAATGAGCGAGTTCGAAACTAAGATGAAATAGCTATCCAATGGTTAGGATCCATGACGTTTCATTCAAGTACACAAGCTTCATATACGCTTGCTCAACCAGCTAAGTGAGAAGACTGGGAGGCGGTAATTAGCAAATTGAGTAATTAGGTGTACAAAATTTTGCTATATATACATTTTATCTTCTAACTCAGACGAGTAAATTTATGCAGTGATCTTAAGTAGAAAAATAATCGACTTCCCTCAATCATGTGTCTCGTTCACGATCTCGCATCTACAGTTTAAACTTGAAATAGCACTTGGGGGGTAGGCAAATGGTATACTTAAACTGCCCAAGCCTATTATTAGTGCTTCCTGATTTCAGGGTTTCCTAAGTTGTCGTCAATTCATGATTAAAACAATATCTTCCATAGTTTTCTTCAAGCATGAAAAGTAAATTCAATTTGCTGTGTTACAGTCGTAATCGAAACACCGGTTATGTGAGGAGGACCCACGGGTGAACTCGAAGAGGCTCTGGGAAGCTCAGAAAGAGCCGAAGACATTCCATTCATACATTCACAAAAGTTAACATCCTTTTTAATTTCTTCGCGTACTGGTCCATTCGTAACTACTAGAATGCCTTTTGAACAGATCCGGGAATTTCTATTGAATACACTACATTCAATACTATTACTTATTCTATTTGGCACAGAAATGGAGTAATTTACTGGGTAATCGATGAAGTGTCCAAAGACTACATGGACAGATTTAAAGTTCAGGGTATGGCAAGAAAAGCTGTCCAGGGTGATAAAACTTCTACCCATTTCCTTGCATTCATCATTAAGGACGTGTTTAATCTGTCGATAAATACAACGTTCACAAAGAAATCTATTTTATTGCCGTATGAAAATCTAAAGGAATTATTGATCATTCATCTGAAAAGTACCAGTCTTTGAATGCAGAGTGAAATTTGACAAAATGATTGATTAAGGTGACCAAAACACCAAAGATTTTATTCCCGAACTCCAAAAACAAACCAAGGAACGTTCGCTACAGAGGTAATCGAGCTCTGGCTTACGTGATAAACAAGAAATAATCACACTACCATTTAAATACACAGTACCGTCAGGACTAATGAATAAATGCTCATTTATAGCAAAATAAACAGGCGAATCTACGTTTCTTATTAGCATTTCAATCACATAGCCAAAAAGATCACAAATCATCAACTAGTAAATAAAATCCCACTGCTTAAAAGAAAAAAAATATTGAACTGAAACATGAATTCATAGACGTGCAAGCAAACAATCTGTATAATGCATTTGAAACGTTTCACATGTAATTGAATTCCCTTTAAAGTCACAGGAAAACTGATACTATATTAATCGATAATATTTATTGTATTTCTACCATTGAAAAAAGTTTTTCTTCATTATGGCTAAAATTAAATGTCATATGATTTTCAGTAAAAATGTAAATCTTATTGGTGCATTATATACAGCGTTGTCAAAATACTCGACAGTAACTAAGCAACGTATCTTGTTTTAATATAATTTGTCGTTTATAAAATATCACAGGTAGTATGTATAAATTAACGAAATTCAAAGTATCGATAATCTCATATTGAGAGACGATACATTCTATAAAAAAAAAACAATTGGAAACAGAATATTATAGATTTTTGTATGATTAAACTTTGTGAAAAATATCTTTCGTTTTGTAGATAACTTAATGGACTTTGAACTGCTATTTTATATGAAATATAGTATTGAATAGATCAAATGACGTATTTCATTTAGTTTTATAATTACTGTGCTTAGTTGTATGAAGTTGTGAAATACTGAATAGTTTTCTTCTGATGAGTAAAAATGAACAATCATTACTTCTACCCCACAATAAACATAGTATATGCTAAACCTACAAGGAACGCTCGGTATGTTCCACAATGAAATATTATATTACATAACGAATAAGTGTTTACGGAACAATGAACAGTGCTAAGTAGCTCCAGAATAATTATATTGAAACTTCAAAAGACAATAAATTAAAATCAATTTCACTTCTGTTCAACAGCATTGACATAGAAACAATAGAAATTTATAGTAACAATCCATATATGTCATAATTAGTCTTTATTATTGTTCAAATATTACAGCCCCTTTTTGTTGACATTTAATGTACTGTCAACTAACGTAGTATCTTTGCACTGCGGCATATTTAAAACATTCGTATAACAGCCATTCAGATTTCCTGCTAATTAACTTTGTCTATTGGGTTTTAGCTGTGCATGTCATTCCCTTATCCATTGGTCCGGTCATTTGAATGCAACGATAGATTAGAAGTCTTTATTTCATCAATTGAAATTACAAATTGTAAGTACTAACGATCCCGTCGACAACAATTTTTTCATCCTAACTAGATTATTATAATTAAAAAGCTGTTCATTGTCACTAATTATCAATATTTGGTGGTACAATGGACAAAATGAAAAAAATTCTAGCTTTCATAATCTTGGAATCCGAAGAGACGGATATAAAATGAATTTCGACGTTTGGTTGTACTACTTTGGTTCACAGCTTAATTCATTATAAAAGTGATATAACGGACTGCAACATACTGTTAATTAGGAGCCTCGGTTTAGTAAGTAATTGCCTAAAAATGAATTTCTTGAATAAGCAACTATACCGTCGCACACAGTCTAATCAGGACTATAGTCAGAACAGATCACTAGTATATAACCAATTATCGTAATGTGTTTCTAAAGTGTAAATCAATACAATTAGTATAAAAATGCAAAAAAGTAGTCAATTACAAAGAGAACAGTAAGCACACGCATACCGAACAGTAGCAGAGATACAAGATGAATCAATAAAATGGGTCAGAGTAATAGCCAGTTTGGGATTAAATGAGAGTAGTGGGCCCTTAACTCATATGATTGGTTGATTCACTTTTATCGATAGCGATTAACAGTTTGCTTTTATACACAGAATACAACTAGGTGACACTTTATTACATTTTTCCTCTGTCAGAACAACTCACAACTATGGACAAAGTAACTTTCGACTTTAATTTTCTAGATATACATAAAATAGTAGACGAATAAATAGCTTTGGAAATTCGGTGACAAAAAATCACAACAAACCAGGAATTATTTGAATGTAGCTGCCTTCTATAAAGAAGGTTGAAAACATGTATTAAGTTCACTTGAAACAGTAGCATCTAAACTTTTCAGATGACATCGAAGAACAAGAAAGTAAAACGAAATACTTTATCGCCCACTATTTTAACGCCAAAACAGTTCAAACCAAGCAGAAAGAAACTTAGGTATAACTTTTGAGACCAAATCCTGGTGCACAAATAAACATTGGGTCCATATAAATCCTGAAAATCGTTTGCTTGCAAAGTCCTAGTTTTAGATCTATTGCACTGATGGATTCTCGTAAACTCATCCCATCAGGTCCTGAACGTGAAGAGCGTAAACAAATCAGATCTAGGTTAAGCAAAAGTCTAAGGAACGACCGTGAGCAGTGGTGTCCAACGAAATCAAAAGAGATGGAAAAGGCATCGGTTAAAGGGAACACAAGACAGCTCTACAGACTAATAAAAGAAACTGAGATTACTAAGTCAATTGTAAGCCAGGCTATTTCGGAAAAAGATGACACTCATCTGCTCTCAGTCCAGACGTTTAGAACGATGGGCGGAACATTTCAGAGAACAGTTCAGTTGGCCTTCAGCTACTCTACTACTACCCTCCATTCTCCGACAGTGTGAATGGAACATTGAAGTAAGTCCCCCAACTCTAGCTGAAATTCAAAAGGCTATAGTTAATCTGAAACGAGGAAGGGCAGCTGGTCCAGATGGTTCGGCTCCAGAAGTCTTTAAGGATGGTGGTCCAATTTTAGCGATCAGGTTGACTAATATTTTAGCTAAGATCTGGGAGTCGGACGTAATCACATTTGACTGGTCTCAATCACTTATCGTCCCAATATATAAGAGAAGGCCAAAATCATCCTGTGACAACCATAGAGGGATTAGTTTGACTAATATGGTATCTAAAATACTAGCCTCGATAATTATCAGACGCCTAACTAAGACTCGTGAACTGCAAACACGAGAAAATCAGGCTGGCTTCAGACTTAATTTTGGCTGCATCGACCACATATTCATCATTCGTCAGGTTCTAGAACACGGGCATAATTATCGGCGTCCGACAATAGTGATCTTTCATACACATAGTTCCCTTTATTATCTTAAATAGAGCAAGAACAAAGATTGGTGCAGAATAATATGAATTCATTTTATTTCGTTAGGTTCTCATCAGCTGCTTACAACCTAAAATATTTAAAATTCAACATTATTACAGATATTGACATATTTATACATAAGAGTGTGATTAAGGATCAATACATGTGTATGATGATGTAGCAAGCAAAGATTCAGATAGAGTTAATGAGCTCATAAAATGTTTGATTCGAATAAATAAATAAAGTTAGAAAGGGAAAGTTCCAGAACATTGAAATAGTGATTAGAACTCATGAAAATAGATTAATGGTAATAAAGAAAATATGAATTGAAATCAATCAGTTATGTATGATGTAATTTATATTTCAGAAAGAGTTGCAATAATGACGTAATAAATAAATAAATAAGAGCAAATTAATAGAAAGAGTGAGGGTTATTGTTACCAGGGTAAAGAAAGATTTATTACCGTCTCTTTTTGTATGCATAGATCTGGTTTTAAACGTTTGATTGCTAACGCTTCAGCGAATTTCAAAAGGTTCGAGTTTGATTGTTTGTTAATCACCTTGAAGGACTTCAGTATATCAGCTTTATGTCCTGTATCAAGGAGATGTCTTGCGATAGCACTGTTGAATGAGTTCAATCCATTCAATCTTAAACTTTTCGGAATATGTTCTTTGAATCGGACGTAGGCTCTCCTTTCTGTTCTACCAATGTAACTGCTTTGGCAGGTACATGTAAATTTGTATACACAGTTGGTGGTAACATGAAAGGGATACCTGTCGACCTTTGATTGTGTCAAAGAACATGTTGTTTCGGACAGGACAATCAATTTCGCTGCAGGATAGGTTCTTGTCAGTGCAGTTTTTAGTCTCATATTGATTGATCCTGTGACATCGTCACCTTTGAATTGAAGTTTAATAAAAATAGGCTTTTTATTTGCTGTAATTTCTTTCAGTTTTTTATCTTCACATTTGCCGTATTTCTCAATAAATTTCAGTGGGTATCCGTTATTCTTTAAACATTTTTTAACATTCATAACCATTAATCTATTTTCATGAGTTCTAATCACTATTTCAATGTTCTGGAACTTTCCCTTTCTAACTTTATTTATTTATTCGAATCAAACATTTTATGAGCTCATTAACTCTATCTGAATCTTTGCTTGCTACATCATCATACACATGTATTGATCCTTAATCACACTCTTATGTATAAATATGTCAATATCTGTAATAATGTTGAATTTTAAATATTTTAGGTTGTAAGCAGCTGATGAGAACCTAACGAAATAAAATGAATTCATATTATTCTGCACCAATCTTTGTTCTTGCTCTATTTAAAATAGTGATCTTTCTTGACTTAAAAGCAGCACTTGACTCCGTAGACCACGAAATGCTGTGGCAGTGTCTGTCAGAAGTACATAAACCTTGCAAAGGCTCTTTACTCGAACACTGCCAGTCGAGTCAGAGCTTATGGCGAACTGTCATCTGGTTTTGCAACCTCAAGTGGTGTCCGTCAAGGCTGTCCACTTTCTCCATTTCTGTTTAACTTCATCATAGACCTACTGATGGAAATAACATTCTGGTCGACTGAATTTTTGAGCATTGATTTCCTTCCAGGAGGTCCACTTATCGACTTAGAATACGCAGATGACATAGTCCTGTTTGGTGAAGACGCTGATAAAATGCAGTCTTTTGGTAGCACTAAGCAACAATACCAGAATTTTCGGGATGCGCTTCTCTCCCTCTAAATGCAAGTTGTTGCTTCAGGACTGGTCTGCGCGAACACCTGAACTAAGGATATGGAGTGAAATAGTCGAACGCGTTGGCAACTTCACTTATCTTGGAAGTCTGATCAGCGCTAATGGGTTGGTGTCTGAAGAAATCTCAGCATGGATTCGAAAAGCTCATTTGGCTTTCGCCAACTTACGTCACATATGGCGAAGGCGAGGTATCTGTCTATCAATAAAAGGACGAGTATACTGCGCGGCAGTCCGTTCTGTTTTAATTTACGGCAGCGAAACATGGCCACTAAGAGTTGAAGATACTCGTAAGCTACCAGTTTTTGACCACAGATGCCTTAGAAATATTGCTTGCATCTGCTGGGATCACTGGGTAAGTAATAGCGAGATTAGACGCAAATTATTAGGGAGTGATGGTAAATCAGTCGGTGAGGTTGTTAATCTTCATCGACTGAGATGGTTGGGCCACGTGTTACGTATGCCCGAACACCGATTATCACGACGTGCAATGTTAACCGGTGCTGGAGATGGTTGGAAGAAAGTTAGGGGCGGCCAAACCAAAACGTGGCATCAGTGCTTGAAGTCACTAACTTCAAGTCTGAGCCGTATTAGTAGATGCAGACTACTTGGTTGGGATCCGCGTGACTATCGTAACCAATGGTTGAAGACTCTTGGTGACATGGCTCAGAATCGGTCACAATGGCGTCGGTGTATACACTCTCTGTCTTCCCTTAAACTAAGAGATTAAAATCACTTCATATCTTTCTTCATTCCTGTACTATACTCTTATATGCAATCTTTCTTCTATATATTACCCCCATTGAAGTAACTAAGTCTATGAATCCAGCGTCCATCTTGCTGTGCTATTGCGGTATGGCAACTTGGACCGATGCATATATGTGCCTGGTCCTACGTTGTAGCTGACTGACTGACTAATACGTCAGAGAAGGTACTGCCAAGTATTTAGAGTATAACAACCAAATTGGGCTTAAATAATTAGTTGGTGAGATTATTGAGAAGAAACAGGTAAGTAACGCTTTTCCAGATAGAAATTCTGGAGATTGTAGTTTCATCTGCTCTCCATTTATCCACTGTTCATTATTACATTTAGCGAGTGACATTAGGCCTCCCCCCGTTAACTTTTAGTGAAGTCGAGACCATGATTAGCATGTGAAAGTCAACGACTTTCAGAATGATTGCTTGAAATGTGTGATACTGAATTTTAGGGGCTGAATGTAATTTAGACCCCACCATTATTAGTCCCAGTCTATATGAAACGGAAACGGTCCTACCGTTACAATCACAGGACAATCGGCTTGACATATACAGTTCCTAACACAGTCTTGTATTCCAACGTCTGAGACTTGTGAAAATAAAATCCAAATAATCCAGGGTTTTACAAGTATGGCTGTGAATGTATACACTAAATACTTACCGCTTATCAGGGTTTACAACTCAAGCGTACCCACCAAATCTGATTGCCTATCTTTATGCGAAGACTACGCTATACTTGCATAACAACAGATAATTCGTAACACCCAACATATCATCCATCGACGACTTAGTCTCGTTTCGATTACTAAGTATAATTTCAGAGATCAGTCACTACATAATTGCATTTCGATGTGATAAATGCTTAGCTCAGTCAATCCCTGGTGAATAAGTGACAGGAACGTTCGGATGTAGTTGTAGACTATGACAGAAGAGAGTAAATAACATACAGAAAAATTGTAGCTGTAGAAGCCTAAGAGTAGGGAAATGAATCTATCAATATTATAATGGACAAATAAAATACCATATTTGTTGGAGAATCTAAGTGCTGTTGTCGATAACAAGGAGATTAGCATGATTCTTATTACGAGATTTTAAGATATTTATTGAACAACTCCCATCAGTAGAAATCCTCAGTGTAATAACTAGTTAAAACCACAGAAGATAGCTATATAGCTACTTTGGTTTAGAAAAGGTCCGCTAGAAAGTGAAGAACAAGCTTAAGAGGTCATGCTTGTAATTGCGACTTCACAGCATACATCAATCCCTATTAAAAACCACTCATATGCTGGTCAAGTCATCTTAACCTGTAAAGCAAACTTTGTCGAAAGTAACTTTACGCACTAAGAAATATCCCTTAAATATCAAGAGACTAGGAATACATAAATATTATTATATTCTGAGAACAGGACAAAAACAAATACTGGATGATTAAATAAGATAGATTTTGTATCAAAATGATTTAACAGTAACTTACACAAAGTAATAGTTTCTAACTCTTAAATGGAGAATGGATATTATAATTGAAGAAAAAGTTACTGCTTCTCTTGAGGTGGGACAATAACTACGGGAATATGAGCGTGGTGAAGTACATAATCGCTAACACTCCCCAAGAATGTACGACGAATAGCTCCAAGACCACGATTGCCCATCAGAATAACGTTTGCCTTATGGTCTGAAATTGCTTTTACCAGAGAGCTACCAGGTTTGGTATCAACATGTAAAAACGCCTTAGCATTGAGCTTGTGACTTTTAGCTTCGTGCATATACTTCTGACCAAGCTTTTTACCTTGTTCAATGCTTTCTTCCATAACTCGTGTCATGTCAGGTATTGGAGGAGATTCCATTGTCATTCCAATGGCTGGAGTGTTATAAACTGGCTCTATTACGTGTACAAATGTTATGCAGTCAGTGTCACGTTTCATATTTTCCAAGTACCAACGAAATGCTCGATCACAATGATCACTGCCATCAATCGGGATCAAAATCACACGAGATGACTCGCCAGCATCAGCCATAATTCCTCAACCTATTATCGTTAAACAATCGTTTGTTATGTAACGAAACAAAAGCAAAAATTCCAACCAATTAAATTGCGGTATCATATTAGTTAAAACATTGATATACAGACAGGTCCTCACAGCCAATAGTGTTGAAGCATCCAACAATCCCTAAGTGTGAATGACACATCAACAAGTCAGTTTTATCACACAGCGATATCAACTACCAGAACCAATGAAAACTAGGCATTATTTGTTCGTTTTCACTTTTGATTTCATCCTGTTAACATAAAACGTTGATGTTCTAGTGTCCCATGTAAAAAAAAAACAGTTTTCCATGCTTACAATATTTCACTGAAGCCATAGTTAAAACAGTATAAGATTAATTCTATTAAATTCGGTGTTTGCTTAAATTGCTGTTGTAGTAATGCCTTCTACTAAGTGACTTGCCGATGTACCCATCTTTCCGTTGTCTTTCAAGACTTCAAAGTGAGCGATATGTATTCACTTGACTTGGATTAACTTTGAACCCTAAATAAATGTGTTTCTTTTAGGAATAATAACGTTTCAGTAATGGTGGACTTATTTTTACTCCGTCTTATTCACTTCCGTAGTTTGATGGAATACATTTCCAATTCCTGATGACAGGATATTGTAATTAACGGTTACTTATTGCTAACTCAACTCCGCCTGAAGTCCCTCCGGGGGCTGTTGCCGGTCCCAAGGCCGGATGAAGGAGGAGGGTTGGGCATGGGGTTAGCGTCCCCATCCCGTAGAAAACTAACTCGCTAAAAAAAACATTAACCAGAAAAAACTATTCAAACCTTTTAAACTCTGTCCTAGGAGTCAGAAGATCTTCATTTAGAATTATGACGCCTCATGATGAAAGCCGAATTCCTTCGGAAGTTACGAGGCCGATGCCCCTTCTGACAACCAGAGCGACCATTTATTTAGGTACATGGAATGTTCGTACAATGTGGGACACCGTGAGAGCCTTCGAAATCGCTGCAGAAATGAGAAGATACAACCTACAGGTGCTTGGGATCAGTAAAACACATTGGACGCAAGTTGGACAACAACGACTAGCTTCAGGAGAGCTTCTGTTATACTCCGGCCATGATGAAGAAAATGCTCCACATACACAAGGAGTTGTATTGATGCTGTCCAAACAAGCGCAAAATGCACTTATAGGATGGGAATCTCATGGACCAAGGATCATCAAAGCCTCCTTCAAAACAAAGAAAGAAGGCATTTCAATGAACATCATCCAATGCTATGCGCCTACCAACGATTACAATGAAGACGCTAAAGATCAATTCTACAATAGGCTGCAGTCAATCATCGAGAAGTGCCCAACAAAGGACCTGATCATTCTGATGGGCGATTTCAATGCCAAGGTTGGAACGGACAACACTGGATATGAAGACATCATGGGACGGCCCGGACCTGGAGAAAGGAACGAAAATGGTGAGAGATTTTCAAACCTATATGCCTTCAATAAACTGGTCATAGGCGGCACCATATTCCCACATAAACGCATACACAAAACCACATGGACTTCACTGGATCACATCACGCAAAACCAAATAGACCATATTTGCATCAATAAAACTTTCAGGAGGACTATAGAAGACGTGAGAACCAAGAGAGGAGCTGATATAGCATCAGACCATCACTTGCTGGTCGCCAAGATGAAATTGAAACTCAAGAAACACTGGACAATGGGGCGGACAATATCACAAAAGTTCAATACGGCCTTTCTTCAGGATACTGACAAACTCAACAAATTCAAGATAGTCCTCAGCAACAAGTGTAAGATCCATTTTGAATGCTTTGTGTGTTTGTGAAAATCCCTCCATGTATATACTTGCACTTTGTTCCTATTGATCCTCTTAGTTGTACATTGTTAACTTTTTGACTACATTTGAGTTTTACTTAATTATAGTTTTTATTTTTATTACGCCTTCACTGAGTCTCCACGTTTCTTCCCGAGCTGCACTTATGTTGTTTTACTTTATACTAAGTCTAGGCGGCAGCCATATTGATTTGTTCCTGCTTTTGATTGCTTGACCTGTGTTGACTGGAATCGTGCATTTTGGTTGCGAATTGAGGCACTATTCCAGAATTGAAAACACTCTGTGTTATAGAGCGACCAATTATTACCTTTTGAACGAATCTGTACGTGATCTATCCAGACAGGATAGAATAACATTTATTTGTGGTGATTGGTAATTTTCTTGTATCCTTTATCAACTTTCTTATTTATTGTAATGTAGATTTGATCAATTGAACAATTATTGGTTGGATAGCTGAGCGGTTTTGTTTGTTTAGGTAATAATGTACACTTAAATTTATGATAAATTATAGAACCTCTGTCTTACCCAGTTACTTTGTTTTGGTTTCAAACGGGCGAGGGCGCGTATCTAATTCATCTAGGCAGCTGTACTTCACTCCAAACCGTAGTTTGGATCTTACAACAAGTTCCAGGCCTTTCATGATCTACTCAATGGAGAAGGAACTACTGTGGGGAGCAACTAGAAGGGGATCAAAGAAGCAATCACTTCAACATGTCATGAGGTTCTGGGCCACAAGAAGCACCATCACAAGGAATGGATCACTGTTGATACACTGGATAAGATTCAAGAAAGGAGGAACAAGAAGGCAGCAATCAATACCAGCCGAACAAGAGCAGAAAAAGCCAAGGCACAAGATGAATACACGGAAATAAACAAACAAGTGAAGAGGAGCATCAGAACTGACAAACGTAAATATGTGGAAGATTTAGCAACGACGGCGGAAAAGGCTGCAAGAGAAGGAAACATGAGACAATTGTATGGCACGACAAAGGAACTCTCTGGAAATCGCCGCAAACCAGAACGACCAGTGATAAGCAAGGAAGGCAAGGTAATCACCAACACTGAAGAGCAACAAAACAGGTGGGTAGAACACTTCAAAGAACTCTTGAATCGACCAGCTCCACTGAACCCACCCAACATCGAAGCAGCACCCACGGACCTCCCAATCAATGTTGGCCCACCAACAACTGAAGAAATCAGCATGGCCATCAGACAAATCAAGAGTGGCAAAGCAGCAGGACCGGACAACATCCCAGCAGAGGCACTAAAAGCAGACGTAGCGGCAACTGCAAGGATACTCCACATTCTCTTCAATAAAATTTGGGATGAGGAACAAGTACCAACAGACTGGAAAGAAGGACTTCTGATCAAAATACCGAAGAAAGGCGATCTCAGCAAGTGTGATAACTACAGGGGCATCACTCTTCTCTCAATACCGGGAAAAGTCTTCAACAGGGTATTGTTAAATACAATGAAGGACTGCGTAGACGCCCAACTTCGTGACCAACAGGCAGGATTCCGTAAGGATAGATCGTGTATAGACCAAATCGCAACTCTACGGATCATTGTGGAACAATCAATTGAATGGAATTCATCACTCTACATCAACTTCATTGACTACGAAAAGGTATTTGGTAGCGTGGACAGAACAACACTATGGGAACTTCTTCGACACTATGGTGTGCCTCAGAAGATAGTCAATATCATATAGAGTTCATATGATGAATTACATTGCACAATCGTGCATGGAGGACAGTTGACAAAGTCGTTCGAAGTAAAGACCAGTGTCAGGCAAGGTTGCTTACTCTCACCCTTTCTCTTTCCCCTGGTGATCGACTGGATCATGAAGACGTCAACGTCTGAAGGGAAGCATGGGATACAATGGACATCTAAGATGCAGCTGGATGATCTAGACTTCGCAGACGACCTGGCCCTTCTATCCCAAACGCAACAACAGATGCAGGAGAAGACGAACAATGTGGCAGCAGCCTCAGCAGCAGTAGGTCTCAATATACACAAAGGGAAAAGCAAGAATCTCCGATACAACACAGTATGCACCAATCCAATCGAAATTGGAAGGTGTAAAAACCTTTACGTATTTGGGCAGCATCATTGATGATCATGGTGGGTCTGATGCAGATGTGAAAGCGCGGATCAGTAAAACGAGAGCAGCATATTTACAACTGAGGAACATCTGGAACTCAAAGCAACTGCCAACCAACACCAAGGTCAGGATTTTCAATACAAATGTCAAGACAGTTCTACTCTATGGGGTGGAAACCTGGAGAACTATGAAGGCTATCATCCAGAAGATACAAGTGTTTATTAACGGTTGTCTACGCAAAATACTTCGGATCCGTTGGCCGGACACCATTAGCAACAACCTACTGTGAGAGAGAACAAACCAGATTCCAGTGGAGGAAGAAATCAGGAAGAAGCGCTGGAAGTGGATAAGACACACATTGAGGAAAGCACCCAACTGCGTCACAAGACAAGCCCCCACATGGAATCCTCAAGGCGAAAGGAAAAGAGGAGGACCAAAGAACACATTACGCCGAGAAATGGAAATAGACATGAAAAAAATGAACAGCGATTGGATGGAACTAGAAAAGAAGGCCCAGGACAGAGCGGGTTGGAGAATGCTGGTCGGCGGCCTATGCTCCATTAGGAGTAACAGGCGTAAGTAAGTAAGTATTGCTGACCCATCTTTCATAGTCACCAAGGTAAACTGATTTATATTGATGAAAAGTGATTTATTCACTTGGTTAAATGGTTCTACACTCAATAAAGATTATCAGTATAAGGTTGTGGAGATTTTCGAGTTTTTATTGTGGTCGTGAACCGATCAATGCTAGATAACCATTGAAAACCTGGAAGCACTGGACGACCGTTTAGTCCCAGTGTGGAACTTCTCAGCAGTGTACACCCACAATCTCGCACCTATAGACCACTGAGTCGGCAACCAACGGTGTTCATGTCTGTTCATGTGTAAATTGATAAGTTCAAATAAAATGGAGAATGGGTAGAATGTTAGTAACAAAATAATGATACATTTCTGATACCTCAATGTGTAGAACTTAGAATTCCTTACGTTTCAAGACTTACATTAGGTCGCTTCTTTTGAGTAGATAAATAGCCGAATTCAACACAAGTATAGTATACTAGAACAAGACAGAATACTTAG